AGAATCACTGCAAATAAATAAATAAATATATATAGATAGATAGATAGATAGATAGATAGGTAAAACTGTGTCTATCATAGCTTGCCACAGAACTAGTTAAGGTTTTCGACAAGCTATATATATATATATATATATATATATATATATACATCAAGAGTGTTTCAGCAACCATTCCATGCTACAAATGTTGTTACAGATGAAATGGCTGTAATTATAACTATTAAAAAATGTCAATTTGAACTTCACTAGAGGTTGTCCTTATGCACTTATAAAGTAGAAACTGAAACTAATGAAGGCTAAACGGCGAACCCGGCTCACCAATCTGGCTCCGATGCGGTCTGCGCCAGGGAGACCCCGTGTCCCCGCAGCTCTTTGTGCTCGCTGTCTGATACCCTCAACCGCCTCATGCGACGCGCCCACGACTGCAGCATACTACGGCCGCTACACCCCAGACGAGCTATTTCGGCGATCTCACTCTACGCCGACGATGTGATGATATTCTGCCATGCCACCCAGGACGACATGGCAGCCATCAAGGGCATCTTAGCCCTGTTTGGCCGAGCTAGTGGGCTCCGGGTGAATTATGCAAAGAGCTCAGCTACCAACCTCCATGGCGAACCCGCGACGGCCGAGATGATCACCCAACTTGGATGCCCGGTGGTTGAGCTGCCCATCACCTACCTTGGTATCCCGTTAACACTCCGTCGACCCTCTGCTGCACAGCTACAGCCCCTCGTCGACTGGTGGCCGCCCGACACCCGACATGGAAAGCTTGGCTCATGAACAAAGCCGGGAGGCTCGCACTGGTCAAGTCGGTGCTGAGCGCTATCCCAGTTCATCAGCTGCTCGTCTTTGCCCCACCCAAGAAGACACTGAAGCAGCTAGAGAAAATCCAGCGTGGCTTTCTGTGGGCCGGGCGCGCCGTCACCAACGGAGGGCACTGTCATGTCAATTGGCGCCACGCCTGCCGCCCCGTGGAATATGTTGGCCTTGGGATCCGCGACCTGGAGCGCGCAGGCCTAGCACTACAGCTGCGATGGATGTGGTTTGCCCGCACAGACACTGACCGCGCATGGCAGGGCCTTGATCTCCAGTTCTCCAAGGAGGAGCGCGCACTGTTCTTCGCATCTACCACTATGATGCTCGGCGATGGCCGGACAGCACTCTTCTGGGACGACCGATGGATAAACGGCCAATCTGTCCGTGAGATAGCCCCCATGCTATACCAATGCATCCCCAAGCAGCGACGCAAGACGAGAATAGTGGCAGAAGGCCTGGACAGGAACACTTGGGCCCGCGATATCCAGGGGACAAATCGGGATACACGAGATTGGCCAGTACCTGATGTGCTAACCAGGACCAATGTTGGACGGCGTCGAGGCTGGCCAGCCGCGGCCTGCAGCACCCCCTAGGTGCCTCCTTTGCGACCAAGACCCGGAGACCATCCAACACCTGCTACTGGCGTGTCCATTTGCTAAGCAGACTTGGCACATCATCCTGGACTGGGCGCATATACCTGCCCAACCGCCAGCCAACGAAATCACCTTGATGGACTAGTGGCTGCGTACAAAGGCACAAACCCCTCCTACACTACGCAAAGCTCTGCAATCAATCACACTTCTCGTCCCCAGGAAGATCTGGAAACAGAGGAACGAATGCGTCTTCGACAATGCAAGACCCCCGATAGATGCGCTAGTTGATAGGATTAAAGACGAGGCCAACTGTTGGGCAAAAGCTGGGGCATAGGGGCTGCGGGTAGTCTTGCCCGCCTCCTGGGATGTCTACTAATCGGAGGCGCTAGGACTCTGTAAATATAACCTCCTAGGAGGCATGTACTCACTCTCACCTTTTCAATGCAATGAAACGCAAAGATCACTTTGCGTTTTCTTGAAAAAAACTAATGAAGGCAAACAGAGAATAATAAATACTGCAACAATCTAGTCATTTAGACTTGCAAGTCATATGTATTAACGGTCACTTCGCTCCCTTCCTGAAGGCGTTGGCTGTTGAAGAACATCATTGTCCTTGTGGTGTCATGATAGTTGGTGCGGATATGGTCATTGCTATAGATTGTGGATCGTGGATTTGATCCCTTTGGGGTTTTTTTCTTTTTTCTGGCTTAGCCATCGTGTTTTAGTGTGTGTTTGTTAGACCTTCAACCTGAGCATTGATAGTTGTGGATGACACTAGGAGAGTTGGGACAATTTTCGTTGGTTTATTTCTCACACAATGCCATGCCAACCTGAGGGGTTGGGGATACATATTTATAGGCTGCTAGCCAGCCAAGCATATGCTAAGATGCTAGTCTAAGATGCTAACTAACAGTCCTTGATGGTCAAGAACAGAACTCTATCCTAACAGCCAGTCCTTGATGGTCCAGGATTTTATCCTCCTAACTGCCACAAGGACCATGTGCTGCAGCCCCACAAAGACCCTAGTACACAGACTTATCCATCATTCTCCCCCTAAGTCTTGTACGTCGTCTTGTGGGAGAGTTGAATCATCCCGATCCTGGAGCAAAGCTCGTGGAACTTGATCCTCCCAAGAGGCTTGGTGAGCAGGTATGCGAGCTGGTCTGTGGTGTTGATGTAGCTCGCCTCGATGCTCCCTTCTTCCAAGCAGCTGCGGATGAAGTGATACCTCAGTCGGATGTGCTTGCTCCGTTCGTGAAAAACGGGGTTCTTTGCCAGAGCCAGGGCGGACTTGCTGTCCACCAGGAGCTGCACCGTTCTGGTATCTTGAACGAGAAGATCACCAAGCAGTCGAGCGAGCCAGAGCGCTGAGTGCAGGCGGTGGAGGCCGCTATGTACTCAGCCTCACAGCTGGACAGGGCCACCACCTGCTGCTTGACTGATTGCCAGCTCACGAGACACTTGCCGAGGAAGAAAAGGATCCCGCTCGTGCTCCTGCTGGTGTCGATGTCGCCGGCGTGGTCGCTGTCGCTGTACCCGACGAAGTGTGCCGCCCCCGGACACCTAGGGTAGTGGAGGCCGTGGTCGAGGTCCCTGCTACGTAGCGGACGATCCTCTTCACTGCCTGCTGGTGTTCCGTCGTCGGTCGCTCCATGAACCGACTGACATAGCCGACGGAGAAGGCCAAGTCCGGCCGTGTGTGGGCGAGGTAGCGAAGGCTCCCCACAAGGCGTCGGTACTGCGTAGCGTCCACTTCCTCCGTTGTGCTGTCGCGACTCAGTTTCAGCCTCTCTTCCATCGGAGTGAGAGCTGGGTGGCAATCGGTGAACCTAGCTAGCTCAACGATGCGCTTGGCGTAGGCGGACTGTCGAAGCGCGATCCCGGAGTGATCCTGGTGCACCTCAATCCCTAGATAAAAGGAGAGGAGCCCTAGATCACTCATCTGGAAGGTGGCCTTTATGTCTTCCTTGAACGCCGCCACCTCTGCATCTTTGGTGCCGGTGATCACCAAGTTGTCAACATAGACGCCCACCAGCAGGGCATTTCCTCCACTGCCCCGTCGGTAGACGGCCGCCTCATGCGGGCTTTGCTCGAAGCCCATCTTATTTAGCATGGAGTCCAGCTTGGCGTTCCACGCCCTAGGTGCCTGCCGTAGGCCATAGAGAGCCTTGCGCAGGCGGAGTACCTTGCCCTCCTGGCCGGGGATCACAAATCCCGGTGGCTGATGCACGTAGACTTCTTCCTTCAAGTCGCCGTTGAGGAATGCCGACTTGACGTCCATGTGGTGGACATGCCAGCCCTCCTGGGCAGCCAGAGCAAGGAGAAGTCGCACGGACTCCATCCGTGCCACGGGAGCGAAAGCGTCGTCGAAGTCGACTCCTTCCTGCTGCAAGAAGCCTCGGGCCACCAAGCGAGCCTTGTGCTTGATGATGGCGCCGGCTCCATCCCTCTTCAGCTTGAACACCCACTTAAGGGTGATTGCGCGGTGACCTCGAGGGAGATCAGCGAGCTCCCAGGTGCGGTTTTGCTCGACCGCATCCATCTCCAACTGCATCGCGGCGCTCCATGCCGCGTCTCTCTCGGCCTCTGCAAAGGACCGTGGTTCGCCGTCTTCACACGCGAGCTGTAGCTGCGCCTCCAGGTCACGTGGCACCAGTCCCGGCACCGGCTGGTCGCCGAGCAGATTATCCATCGTACGGTACCGCAGCGGTTCGCCGTCATGCCACGCGTCGATACGCTCCTCGAGTGAGCGGGGAAGCGAACTTCATCGGGTTGTGCTCTGCGTGAGCTGGTGCTGATGAAGACGAGCCCGGAGTGGTGACCGCCGGGGCTGGAGTATGCCGCGTCGCCGGTTGTGGTGTCGTCGGCATAGCAGGCGCCGGAGTCGATGTAGTTTTGGGGGGCGGGGTAGAAGTGCCCGGCGAAGAGGAGTTGCTTGCTCCCCCAGCTTCCTTGAGGTGGGCCTACTCGACAATGAAGTCGTCATACGTCGGCGTCGAGCCGTCGTCCACCGCCTTGTCCCATTGCCACCCTCGCCCTTCGTTGAACACGACGTCTCGCGTCGTGCGCACACGTTGTGTCTTTGGGTCGAGGATGCGGTAGGCCTTTGAGCCCTCCGCGTAGCCGATGAAGACCCCCGGAGTGCTCCTGTCGTCGAGCTTGCCGATGTGGCCGAGCTCCTTGGCGAACGCAAGGCAGCCAAAAACCCGCAAATGAGAGACCGCCGGCTTCCGCCCATGCCAGGCCTCGTACGGAGTCCTGCCGTCGAGTGCCTTAGTAGGTGAGCGGTTGAGGATGTAGACGGCCGTTAGCACCGCCTCTCCCCAGAAGACAGCCGGCATCCCTCTCTGCTTGAGGAGAGCCCGAGCCATCCCCACAACTGTCTGGTTGCGCCGCTCGACGACGCCGTTTTGCTGCGGGCTGTACGGCGCGGAGTAGTGGCGCTGGATGCCCTCATCGGCGCAATACGACGCGAATTCAGCCGCCGTGAACTCGCCGCCGTTGTCAGTGCGCAACACGCGCAATTTGCGGCCGCTCTCCGCCTCCACACCAACCTACGCGCGCCTGTTGGCGTCCGCCGCTTCTCCCTTACTGCCGAGGATCATCACCCACATGTAGCGGGAGAGATCGTCGACGAGCAGTAAAAAGTAGCGTCGACCTCCTAGTGTGGCTGGCGTCACCGGGCCGCACAGGTCTCCGTGCACGAGCTCCAGCTTCTCCTTGGCCCGAAAACTCGCCTGTTGGGGAAAGGGGAGTCGTCTCTGCTTCGTCAGCACGCAGATGTCGCAGAACTGCTCCACATGGTCGAAGGCCTCGCACCATCCCCTTGGCACTTAGACGCTTCAGGGCCTCAAAATGAAGGTGCCCAAAGCGCTCATGCCACTGCCACGCCTCGTCGTCCCGACGGACCGCGAGACAGACCGGTTGTGCCACCTGCACATCAAGGACGTAGAGTCGATTTTCACCTCTGGGTACCTTGGCAAGAAGGCGACGCTGGCGATCCCAGATGCGTAGGACCCCATGCTCAATCAGCACGCGTGAGCCGTTCTCATCCAGCTCTCCCAAGCTGATGATGGAGTTCCTTAGCGCGGGGATGTAGTAAACACCGGTGAGCAGCCGATGCTCTCTTGTCTTGGTGGTGAAGATGACGGAACCGACGCCCTTTATCTCCATAGCGGAGGTATCCCCAAACTTGGCGGAGCCTCGCGCATCGGAGTCGAGCTCGGCGAAGAATTCCCTTCGCCCGGTCATGTGGTGGGTGGCGCCGGTGTCGAGGCGCCACCCTGTAGTCTTGTCCTTCCCAGAGCCATCGCCGAGAAGAGCGTGTGCTTTTGGCTCATTGAGATGGATGAAAGCCTTTGCGACTGGAGTCGCTGAAGGTAGCTCAATGCTTGCATGCGCCATGAACAGAGCCGTCTCCTCCTTCGCCTGTGCGACATGAGCCTGGCCTTGTCGTGGTTGCCGACACTCATTGGCCCAATGGCCAAACCGGCCACAGTTGTGGCAACTGTTGTCTTGTGCTGGCTTGGGCTTGCCAGCGACGCCGTCCTTGGCGCCTCCGCGGGCGTCACCCTCGGCACGTCCTTGTGCCCTGCCCGGGGGGCCTCTTCGCGCCTTACGCTGCTTGCCACGCTTGCGGCCGCCCGTCGTGGAAGAAGGCTCCCCCTTCTTCCTGTCACCAAGGCTGGCATCCCACGGCTCCCGAGTTAGGAGCAGCTTCCCACCGGTGGTGATGGGTGCCGAGGAAGGTTGTGGCTCGTCGGTGTCGACGACCATGAGGCGACCTATCGCCTCCTCGATCGTCATCGTGGAGAGGTCCAGCAAAGACTCGATCGACCGAGCCATCTGCTTGTACTTCTCGGGGATGCACCGAAAAGGCTTCTCGACAGCTCTCTCCTTGGTGTAGGTGGCATCGCCAAACTGCACCAACTTCTGCAGCAGAGTGTTGAGACGGAGAGCAAAGTCATCAACGTCCTCACCTGGCTTGAAAACCAGGCTCTCCCACTCCTTACGGAGTGCCTGCAGGGTGGACTTGCGAGCACGATCGCTGCCGATGCGTGCCGCGGCGATGGCGTCCCAAGCCTCCTTGGCAGTCCGCTTGTTGGAAAGCGAGAACTGCATCTCGGGCGGGACTGCGGCGATGAGGGCGTCCAGCGTCCGTCGATCCTCTAGGTGGTCGACGTTGCTGTCCTGGACTGCCTCCCATAGGCGCCGCACCTGGAGCCTGATCTTCATGATCTCGGCCCACTCGACGTAGTTGGTTTTAGTGAGGGTGGGCCACCCAACACTGGAACCAACATCCCTGACCACAGTCCGGACCTCGTAGAGGCCGCGGTCCTGGTCATTGCAGCCGCCGTCGCGGTGCACGCCTGCACCTGGAGCGTGGGCGTGCTCGGCTGCCCACTGCGCCGTCCGCTCTTGCGCCACTTTGGCGCTGGCGCGATCTGCATCGACGCCGTCGTCCGCAGCCGCGGAGCTGTTGTAGCTGTCGGAGCCGCCGCGGAGTGCCTTGGCATCCGCCGCAGCCTCGCGTGTTGCGTCTGCTGCCGCTGCAGCTTCTACCTCCGCCCTGGCTGCTTCTACCTCCGCTGCAGCCAGCCTCGACACCCTTGCTGCCGCAGCAGCTGCTGCTACAGCTGCTCGCTCACGCTCCTCTGCCGCGGGGCGCTCGGCCTCCTGTCGGCGCCGCATGCTCGAGGTAGCCGTGTGCTGAGAGCGACCTGTAGACATGGCTCGCTGCAGGGGGGCTGTTGCGTGAAGAGGAGGCTGTTGAAGACGAACTGCTGCTTGACAGTCCGGAGGGAGGGAGGTAACCAGAGGCAGACGGAGCAGCTGCTGCTACCGACTTAGGCTGCCCACAGGAAATGCTCAAGGTACAAGATAACCTGGCTCTAATACCACTTGTTAGACCTTTCAACCTGAGCATTGATAGTTGTGGATGACACTAGGAGAGTTGGGACAATTTTCGTTGGTTTATTTCTCACACAATGCCATGCCAACCTGAGGGGTTGGGGATACATATTTATAGGCTGCTAGCCAGCCAAGCATATGCTAAGATGCTGCTAAGATGCTAGTCTAAGATGATAACTCACAGTCCTTGATGGTCAAGAACAGAACTCTATCCTAACAGCCAGTCCTTGATGGTCCAGGATTTTATCCTCCTAACTGCCACAAGGACCATGTGCTGCAGCCCCACAAAGACCCTAGTACACAGACTTATCCATCAGTGTTGTGGTGTTGGTTGTGTGCATCCTAGTTATGCAGAGGCCGGGTGTGTATTCATTGTGTTTGTATCCTCTTGATGCTTCATTTTTGAGTTAATAAAATCCACCCTTTGTCAAAAAAAATGTATTAGCGGTCACTTTAGTCAAAGATTTACTAAACGATGAAAAACCACAAATAAACCGATGAGATGAAACCAATCCGATATATCTTCTTAGAGATAAGCTAGGAGAGGCTCTCTAAAAAGACCCCCGCATTGTGAAACCAAAATAACTTTACTGCTGTGTTCTCCAACAGAACAGAATAGATGTCCTAATTATTGAGCAAGTTCTACTAGTAATTGTAAGTCTGGTATTTCACAGAGGATTTCTAAATGTAAGAAGAAACTCCTAAATCTTTTTATATTTTAACTGAAATCATATACTGTAAGAGAAGGCATGTAACACTAATGATATGAAGTTGTCCAAGTCTTCCTATCTGGGGAGAGGCTACAAAACTTTGATGCTACTCGTAGCATTTATATGATGAAATATTATTTAACCCAGCATCCAAATAGTTCTTGTTTAAAAAAACTTATGGTTAAGGTAAACAAACAAATACAACAAATATCATGTATTCAACTTACTGAAGTTGTGTAGCCTAACTTAGTTATGAACAATGAGTTACAAAATGTTAAACCAGTATGGGCCTTGCCCATCTTCACTTAAAGCCCATGTGGCCCAGGCCCATGGCTTTGACCTAGAAGAGGTTGTGCCAGCCAGTGTCTGAAGAGGTGCAAGAGCTTCACACATCACACCATCCGACCCCAGAGAAGAAAGAGACGCAGAAGTGAGACCCTCCCTGACTCAACATGGCATCAGATGCCGCTGACGACAGGGGCTGATGGGAATGCGGCGGCAGACCTGGCTGAAGAGGGGGTGGTCTGCGAGGCGGCGCGGCAGGGCTTCATGGCTGTGGAGGCAAGGGAAAGACGTCGGAAAAGGTGCCTTCTGCTGCTGCTGCTGTATTGGCTGTTGTTCCTCCTGGCGTTGATCCTGTGCTGCTGCTGCATGAAGGGAGGCAGGTGACGAGAGCGCTGGCAGTGTAGCTGCTGCGTGCAGCTGCTTGACAGGGGGGGCAGGAGACCTTGCTGCTGCATGCAGATGATCCGGGCCAGTGAAGGAAAAGGAGCAGGTGCGCCTGCGTGGGGTTCCTGGAGGCTGCACGTTGTTGCTGCTGCTCTTTGCAGAGGAGAAGAAGGCAGTGACTGCTGCGTGCTGCTGCTGTTGCTGAAGTTTTTTACTGCTCGTGCTCGGCTGCTTGCAAGTGAGGGTGATCATTGCACTGCTGCTGCTTGCTGTTGGTGGTAAGTGTTAGGAAAGCAACTTGTATTACTAGGAGGCAAAAGCCAACATATATACATGTACAAGAGAATGGCAAAAGACAAGAATATAGAAGGTCAAAAGACATGATCAATATAACTCATCAAGGACATGTACGATAATGTTGTGACAAGCGTTCGAACAAGTGATGTCGACACTGATGACTTCCCGATTAAGATAGGACTGCATCAGGGGTCAGCTTTGAGCCCTTATCTTTTTGTCTTGGTGATGGATGAGGTCACAAGGGATATACAAGGAGATATCCCATGATGTATGCTCTTTGCGGACGATGTGGTGCTAGTTGACAATAGTCGGATGGGGGTAAATAGGAAGTTAGAGTTATGGGGACAAACCTTGGAATCGGAAGGGTTTAGGCTTAGTAGAACTAAAACCGAGTACATGATGTGCGGTTTCATTACTACTAGGTGTGAGGAGGAGGTTAGCCTTGATGGGCAGGTGGTGCCTGCCTTGCCTCAGAAGGACACCTTTCGATACTTGGGGTCAATGCTGCAGGAGGATGGGGGTATTGATGAAGATGTGAACCATCAAATCAAAGCCGGATTGATGAAGTGGCGCCAAGCTTCTGGCATTCTCTATGACAAGAGAGTGCCACAAAAGCTAAAAGGCAAGTTCTATAGTACGGCGGTTAGACCCGCAATGTTGTATGGCGCTGAGTGTTGGCCGAGTAAAAGGCGACATGTTCAACAGTTAGGTGTGGCGGAGATGCGTATGTTGAGATGGATGTGTGGCCACACGAAGAAGGATCGAGTCCGGAATGATGATATACGAGAAGATAGAGTTGGGGTAGCACCAATTGAAGAGAAGCTTGTCCAACATAGTCTGAGATGGTTTGGGCATATTCAGCACAGGCCTCCAGAAGCTCCGGTGCATAGCGGACGGCTAAAGCGTGCGGAGAATGTCAAGAGAGGTCGGGGTAGACCGAATTTGACATGGAAGGAGTCTGTTAAGAGAGACTTGAAGGATTGGAGTATCACCAAAGAACTGGCTATGGACAGGGGTGCGTGGAACCTTGCTATCCATGTGCCAGAGCCATGACTTGAAGGCTTTGTTGTTGTTGTTGTTGTTGTTGAAAATACCTTCATATTGGTACGTATAAAACAATATACTAAAAAAGTAGTACATACTACCTAAAAAGTAGGATATATGCTACCCGAATGTTCTTATACTACATACTGCACATACATACTCTCAGTTTTGACAGATACTACCACATACAAAACTCACATGAGGGTAACCACCCCTAGGTGGTAGGAAACATACAACATATATATAGGATAAATGTTTCATACCACCTAGGGGATGCAATAGAGATAAGTTGCATCCATAACATGAATGTTGGTGTCCCTCTGAGAAACGCAGGTTTGTAAGTATGGATGTCACCTTCAGGGGGTCTAAGCCATTTTGTGGTGAGCCAACAGATCTCTTTGTTGTTTGAAAAGCTTGCCCACTTACACTCTGTGATAGATCGTCAAGAGGGGGAAGGGTTGTGTCCCATACTGATGGTGATCCAACGGGCACTAACATGGATGATGATGTGAGGTCCAACCAAGATGCGAAGAACGACTCCGCCACCGTCCTCAAGCAATTGCAGGCGCAGACGTCGCAGATCGATGATCTGCTTTGCTGGAAGCCTGACCTGGAAGCCCGCTTCACCAAGCTTGAGACCACGGTCGCCTCGCTGCAAGCGGTTGCACCGCACTCGTCGAGTGGAGCGGCGCCCCTGCTTCCATCTCCGTCGCCTCTTCTCGCCGCGCGAGGAAGCCTCCACGGGCCAAGTGGCCACGGGGCGACGTCGATCTCACCGGGGGGGCACCCCGGTGACCACAGAGTCACCGGTGCACTCCCGGTCAAGGGTGCATCTTCCCTTCCGCTCGTTCCTCCCCCACCACCTCCCTTCTCGTCCTCCATGCTCGCCACCATGGGACAGTTGCCAACGACCGTGAATCTTCCCTTGTTCACCGGCGAGAACCCTCAACTCTGGAAAACTCTTTATGAACAGTATTTCCAAATGTTTTTGATCCATAACTCGTATCGAGTACCAATGGCGACTCTGAATTTCTCTGGTCCACCAGGCATCTGGCTGCAATATGTGCAGAAAAAAACTAGCCGGATTGGACTGGGAGTCCTTTGCCTCTCTACTCTGCACTCGTTTCGGGCGCGATAAGCATCCGCCAGTTCTATGCTATCAATCAAACCACCTTTGTTGCTGATTTCATCGAACGATTTGAATCTCTGATGAATCACCTGATTTCATATTCTGAGTCTACTCACCCGTATTTTTTCCTGACGTGCTTTATCGAGGGATTGCGACCGGACATCCGAGCGGTGGTGCTCGTGCAGCGACAACGGGACTTGGACCCAATGTGCTCGCTGGCCCTACTTCCGGAGGAAGTGGCCGACGGCGATTTAGCGTACGAGCGCTTCTCCCACGCCAATCGAGGCCAAGGCCAAGCTTCCAGGACGGCATCACCATCATTCTTCGTGCGACCTGCAACGCCTACGGCAAACTCCGAAGATAGGCGCGGCACGGACGACGCGCGCGCTACGCCTGAAGCCAGTAAGGTGGCCGCCCTCCGCGCCGGAAGGCGCGCGAAGGGACTCTGCCTTAAATGCGGCGAACGATGGGGCAAGGACCACGTGTGCCCACCTACGGTGCAGATGCATATTGTGGATGAACTATTCGCCATGTTCAGCCTGGACGATGCAGCGTCAGAATTGCCGCCAGATTCGCCGATTTCTACGAAGAAAATTTGTCCACCATTTCCCATCAGGCTGAAGATGGTTCGTCTGCCCCTGGTGTTCTACAACTACAGGCCTGGCTGCAAGGGCATGAAGTGCTGCTCCCGGTCGATTCCGGTAGTTCCACCTCCTTCGTGGACAGTTCATTCGCCTCCAAGCTCTCGGGTGTTACTCTGTTGCCGCGCCCTTGCCGTGTGCGCATTGCAGACGGCGCCACCATTCCATGCACTTGCTATATTCCTGACTGTCCTTGGATTGCGCAAGAACATGAGTTCAAGACTGATTTCAAAGTTCTCAAGCTGGGTGCGTATGACGCTATATTGGAAATGGATTGGTTACGCAAACACAACCCTATGAACATTGATTGGATCGAGCAACATCTGACAG